CTCGCTGGCAAATTCTTCAACATGGCGGCCCTGAACCCCAACGCACCTCCTCATGCGCCTCAGCCATGATCCTGACACCTCTCCTGACGCTCTCTTCGATCGGATCACTTACGCTAAGCATAATACATGTCATTTCTTTCCAGATCTGAGTTCACCTACATCTCCACATTTGCCATTTGCCCTTTGATCCATTATTTCTCCAGTGATACCTTCTTAGATCCACAGTCGCCATTCAACCTGCCCATTCCATACCCATTTCAGAATCAATCTCGCTCCACTTCGATCCTCTGTTAACATATCATCATATACAAATTCACATAACCTCTGTCCTCCAATCTGCAACCTCCTTGCAGATCCATCGACTTTCAACCACACTAATGACCAACTCACCAGTGTGGATCCCTTGCTCTCGGCTCCTCGTGAGATTGCATCATACCGAAACGGTTGCGGTTAGCACGATCTGGCAAGAATTCATACAGAAGAGCACCGCAGTTGAGATCTGCTTCGTCTATCCAAGTCGGATCCTCATATCCACGCCAATGTACCAGGAATTCTCGGTAGATCCGGCCATATCTAGTCCTCTTGCCAGTTCTCATGTCAGAAATTCGTTCCACCTCATATTCGTCCGGATCCCGCTCTTGGATCCCTATCTTCAGGTAGGAGAGCTTCATCGAAGTCCACTCGATCTCCTTCTGATCCGTTCAGCCGAGTTACTGGTCGATCTGGGAATACCTTGACCAGTTTGATCTTCGATACATGCACCACCGGAAAAATGCTGTATGTGGATCCTGCTATCTCCAACTTCACAGCGTACTCTCCGATCTTTTCGGCCACGCGGAAAGGGCCATGCCATAAGTGCGCGAGCTTTTTTGCATACCCCTCACGCACCCGATCCAGGTATAGCCAGACTCTTGATCCAGACTCTACAAGGTGCGGTCGTGCTAGATCATTATGCGTATCGGCCCGATCCGCGATCGGTTCTCGTAGGCCCTGGTTCACCTGTTCCCTGGCTTGCTGATAATATTTCTGCATCCGATACCGCCACCTTCTGGGATCTCGATCGTGCTTGCGAGTGCTTCCCACCGGGATCACGGCTTCCAGAGTGGATCTAGGATCCCAGCCATGTATCATATAGAAAGGTGTTTCGCCTCGGATCCGATCCCTTGCGGTATTGATCGCGAAGGTGAGTCGCTCAGCATACTCATCCCAATCTCTTGATCCAGATCTTCCACATACATCTTGAGCGCCCTGGTAGTTGTCTGGACCATACGTTCCGCAGACCCATTGGCATATGCCATAGTGGCCCGTTGGCGTTGTCCCAGGATTCTGTTAAACGACTTGAAGAAATCAGACATAAAGCCTGGCTCCCGATCATGTCGGATCACCTCGCTCGCGCCAAATCGTCGAAAGACACATTCTTCGTAAGTCTCGGCGATTGTTTGAGCGGATCTGGAGGCACTAGCTTTGGCGATCACGTATCCCGAGAACAGATCCACGAAAATCAGCAATTCGGTGTTACCGTTGAAAGATCTAGGCAGCGAGGGTATATGATCCATGGCAATGATCTGAAATGGATACGTTGCCTGCAGGTTACCAGGCGACTCTCCCTGGATCCGAGGTCTTCCTTTGCCTGTCTCACAGTCGACGCATTCCCCCACATATCATTGTACACTCTTGTACAAACCCCTCCAGTGGAAGTGATCACGGACCTGGTCATAGGTGCGACCTACCCCTTGGTGACCGCCTTGTAGGCTCGTGTGATAGTGGTGCAGAATGTCCTGTTGAAGCGTCTCAGGTATCACTAGTCGCATCAGCTTATCTCGATCTGCGGCCGCTTCCTTAGATGTCGGGCAATAGAAGAGTAGATCCAGCTGATCCACCTCGTAATTCATGGCAATGGATCCGAACATCCTAGCCTCTTCTTGTGTCAGATCCCGGATCTCCCCGGTTAGATATTTCTTCAAGCCCATGATCCACGACTCCTCGTCCTGCGCTTGTCGGATCCGCTCGATCCGTAGCTCTCTCACGACCTCCTCTCGTAAGGAGTCTGGATCAGACCCCATACGTACCCCCGATCTAGCCTTAGATCGGGTCGTCACCGCTGATAATCGTAGGATCTCTTCTTCGACTCTCACTATCAGGATCTCATCTAGCCTATTCAATGTCGTGAGATCCTGGATCTCTGCGTCAGACTCTACATCGATCCCACATTGCCGTTG